CTCTCTCTCTCTCTCTCTCTCTCTCTCTCACACACACACACACACACACACACACACACACACACACACACACACACACACACACACACACTGTGGGACATCAACAAACACAAAACATAAAGATTGAGTTAGCTTGTTGCACTCGACTCCTAAGCTACCCGTCTGCGACATTGTTTCTAGTCTAAATTCATCAACATATGAACTTGACTTCTGCATGGGGTTTCTTTTATCTAGGGTTGGGACTTCCGAGAGCATAAAAAATGACGAAGTCGAAGGGAAACTCGTTGAGGATCAAGGACATTTCAGGGACCTCAACAAGTACTGGATGGCGCAGCCAGGGCGCCCCTGCTGATTTTGAGGGTGTGTTTGAAATCCCCACTTTGCACTACAGCGCTGATGCCGAGAAAATGCCTACTATCCAGGCTCAGTTTGAAGTGACTGAATCGGAAGAAGACACTCTTGGTCCGGAGGAGGAAGAGGAAGTGGAGGAGGATGAGGAGGGTGAGGAGGATGAGGAGGGTGACGAAGGTGACTTTGGTAGCGAGCGCGAGGAAGCAGTAGACGAGGGTGAACAGGGTGACGAGGATGAGGAAGAAGGAGACGAGGAAGAAGACGACGCTGTCTTTGAGAGGACTGCTGAACAAGAGAGGGCGAACCAAAATGCATACATTGAGAAGTTTTTTAGGAGGGCAAAGCAGTCCGAGGAATTAATCTCTTGCCTGTGGAGCATTGTGCTGTTCCAATCGGCTGTGGAACTATGGACCAAACATGCAGACCAGGAGAGATACAAATGCTGTGGGGAACTAATATACTTCGCCTCTGCACGAGAGAGCCACGAGGATCTGGCACTTGCTTGGGTGAATGTGGGGACGATTTTGACCAAGTTCGTTTTGCGTCGTGCAAGCATGGTTGTTTGGGAGCAGAAGCTAGATTCCCATCTCAAAAAGGCAAATCAGAAGGGCTTCAAGGTACGACTCTTTGTTTGAGGAAGGTCTCTTCTTTCAGTGAACAGCAGTAAAGCGTTGTAATCCTGCTCTTGTAGTCTAGTGCTACAAATCAGTTCTCGGAGTGCGCCGCTACGATTCTCTTGTGATATTTTAGTGCTCTAATCCTAATTGTCCAGGCTACTGCTTACAAATCCGTTCTTGAAGTGCACTACTAGAAATCATTTCTCGGAGTGCGCTGCTACAATTCTCTGGTGACATTAAAGTGTTCTAATCTTGCTTTTGTAGTCCGGTGTTCTTTTTACATTACAGTGTCATAATTCTCATTCACATTGTAATGCTATAATCCTGCTTTTGCACTGCTGTAATTCTCTTTCGCATTATACTGCTATAATCCTACTTTTAGTGTTCTTTTGCAGTCTGGTGCTAAAGAGTGCTACAATCCAACTTTTAGTGTTCTTTTGCAGTCTCTTTCGCATTATAGTGCTAGAATCTTACTTTAAGTGTTTTTTTGCATTCTGGTGCTCTGTTTTTTAATTTTAGTGTCAAAAGACTACTTTTGCAGTTCGGTGCTCTTAACTGTTGTCGTTGTACGGCGCTCTCTTTTCCCATTATAGTGCTATAAGACTGCTTTCGCAGTCTGCTGCTATCTTTTTCAATTAAAGTCCTACAAGACTACTTTCGCAGTCCGACGCTCTTAACTGTTTTCGCAGTGCGGTGCTCTCTTTTGAAATTATAGTGCTATAAGACTACTTTCGCAGTTTGGTGCGCTCTTTTCACATCATAGTGCTATAAGACTACTTTCGCTATCTCGTTCTCACTCCTTGTTTCGCTCAACGTGTTCCTTTGCAAGAATTTTGTAAAACTGTCGGAGAGTATACCTTTCAGGTACTTCGTGAGGAGGTCCGTGTTTCGAGGAGAGCAGAGTCACTCACCGCAGGGCCGTCTGCGTCCCAACCTGCGAAAGGTCCAGTGAGGGTCTCCAAAGGGACTTCTCCCTCAGGGTCAAGGCAGCGGGAAGGGTCACCTTTTCATTTGCCCCAAGCGTGTGTTGGATCCACTGCCGCAGCAGATGCGGGCTCGGGTGTGAAAACGAAGAAGAAAATGCTCGCGCGGAAAACGGTTGCCAAAGATAAGAAGAAAGCGGAGGAGCCAAAGTCTGGAAAGAGGAAAACGGCGGAGAAGAAGTCCACGAAAGGGAAGGATCAAACAGAAGAAAAGTTGCCAGTGGCGAAGGAGCTTACTCCTAACGACGAGGCTGAGAAGCTCTCTCGAATGTGGGAGGAGTTAAAAGAGCTTAATAACAAGAAGCTTGACGCCAACTCGTTCACCCTTCTAGCGTCCTGCCTACTTCGACCTCCTGCTGATGACAGTGGCAAGAGACCACTGGAGGTTCGCGAGCCCGAGGAGAGGCAGGTCCGACGGATCATGGACTCCATAAAGAGGAACCCTTTTGCAGACACTCTGGCTCACGTCGGCTTGATTGATCCTTCGCAGGCTCGTACGAAGGAAAATGTGGATCTCGGCAAGCTGCTCTCTGGAGGCTACAAAGTTTTCGTGCTCGGTGGTGGACACACAAGGGAGGCCAGAGAACGTCTTAGGAACCTTCACCCGACTGTCTCTTCCAAAAGACGAATTGTTTCATTTACGTCGGCCTCACCGTCCAGGAAGCTCGTAAGATCGCGCACGAGCACAAGCACATTGCAGGCTTCCACCAGGATTTCAGTTTCATCCAGAAACTGAAATGCAGGCGAGCGGTGCTCGAATCGATGGGCTGCCAAAAGAATGTCGCTACGAAGACTGCATGCTTGCAGGAAATTGGATTTTCAAACCCAGACAAAGATCTTCTGCAGAGGTCGGATCCACATTTCCAGGTCTGCATGCGGTCCAAGGAAGTGTGGACCCTTCAGCTGAAGATATTCGATATGTGGTTGAAAGGGGATTGTCTGGACCAGAAAATGAAGGTCCCTACAAGGAAAAAGGCGAAAATTTCTAGTGATGATAGCGAGGCGGGTGGCCCAGAAGGAACTCGGCCGGCAGCGAAGAAAAGATTGAAGAAATTCAATTCTGTTGAAGTCCAACGTCAGGTACTGCGTTTCTTCAATCCTAGAGCGCAGGTGGAGCATGGGAAAATTGTAGCTGAGCCAACTGACATGCCACATGCGCATTGGGTGAAGATGAGTTCTCTCGATGACGAGTCTGTTATTCCCATCCTCGAACAGGTGGCCGCAAAGCAACTCTCGATTGATGGTATGAGGAAGAAGTTTGAGGTGGCGAAGAGGTTTGGTCGAGTGGTTAGGTATTTCTTAACAGAAACAAAGTCAGCAGATTGGGCTAGCTGCAAAGAACTTTACCCACTCCACACAACCAAGGATGTTTTGGGGCCCTTCGCCAGTAACTGGAAGCAGAAGGCGGATGTACCTCGAGCTTTGCAACAACTTGTTGCTCGAGCGAAGGCGTGGAAGGAGCTGAATGACAAAAGGGAGGCCGAAAGTCGAAGAACAAGGTCTAAACTCGTCGTCTCAGAAAAAGCTGGTACTCACTTCTTGGATTGGACGGAGGTGAAATATAAAGAACACTGCGGCAACGTGAAAGTCTTGGAAGGCGATATGATAGATTTGAAAAACTTGACAGAGAAGTTGCTTTTCTCTCTGATTATCTGCGACTTCCCGTACGGGTTTAATCTGCCAATGTCCTCTGGCGATTTTGTTCCTTTTCCTGAGGAGTACATTGTTCAGGTCCTTGAGAACATCAAGGAGGTATGCAGTGGACCGTTGTGGACAATTGTCAGATTCTGCTCTCTGGACATGCTGCCCTCGGTTCGGCAAGCGTTCAAGATGGTTTGCAATGCAGGAGAGGAGGTGGTCACGTGGTGCAAGCTGAATGTCATGAACACAGGAGGGCCTCGTCTTGTGAGCGCGACAGAATTTTGTGTCATCGGCTACTACAGCCAAAGTGGTTCTCGAGAGGCAGCTCATTACAATTTTGCCAGCACGGACCCCAGGCACAACTACAGGCTGTTCGATGTTGTCATGAAGAAGTATATTCATCCGACCGACCTCAGATGTTGTGCCCTTACCAGAAGCCGGTCGCCTTGTACGCGTGGTTGATCGAGAAATTCTCTCCTCCTGGCGCTTATATCATCGACGGTTTTTTCGAGTCCGGAACAGGTGCAATCGCCAGCGTTTTCTGCAACAGGAATTGCCTGGTGGTTGACAAGTGCCCGCGCTGCATCAAGGGAATCCGCGCTCGCATTCTGAACGATATTGGTCCTACGATTAAAAGAGAAAGCAGGCGCGAGGCAGCAACAACGCTGACCACTGCTGCAGCAGTAGCAACAGCAGCCGAACCAGCAGCAGCAGGACCACCCGCAGCAGAAGCACCACCAGCAGGAGCACCAGCACCAGCACCACCAGCAGCAGCACCAGCACCAGCAGCAGCAGCAGCAGCAACAGCACCAGCAGCAGCACCAGCAGCAGCAGCAGCACCAGCACCAGCACCAGCAGCACCAGCAGCAGCAGCAACAACAAAACCACCCGCAGCAGCAGCAGCAACAGAACCACCCGCAGCGGCAACAGCAATACCACCAGCAGTCGTAGCAGCAGCAGTAGCAGCAGCAGCAGCAGCAGCAGCGAGCGCACAAAAAATTGCGGTTTGCAGTCCTTAGAAGTTCCTCCCAGTTATAGGGCTATTATCTTGACGACTGTGCCGAGAGCTTCTGTGTTTTTGCTACCCTTGTACTTTTGTGTTGGTGCGTGCCAGCTTGAGCCCTCTTCTTTGTTATAGTCCTATAATGTTGTTTGTGTTGGTGTGGGCCAGCTACGACTGTCTCTTGTGGCCGCTTCTCGGTTGTACTTTTTTGTTGGTGTGGGCCAGCTTGAGCCCTCAAAGGATTGTCCCTTCCCACCATGAGGCACTCGTTTTGCTGTTGCCTTGCTTCCTTCCCACCCTGTTGCCCTCCTCTACTAGGGCACTCTTTTTGCTGTCGCCCTCCTGTACTGGGGCAGACTTTGCAGTGGTGCAGGCTACAGTAGAGGATATTGTAGGTTAGTGTAGAACTTTTCACCACGGCAAGTAGAGCACTGTGTTGTAGTTTAGGGCACAGTAGGTGTTAGAATAGTTGGTTACTAGGGCTGGTACAGAGACCAGCGGTGAAGAGAAGTTTCGTCTTGCTGTGGTTGTTTGAACACTGTGCTGCAGCATCCTTCGATTTTATTCGCTGCGTGATCTCCTTTTCTCTCTATCTTTGTCTTTCTCTCTTACTTTCTTTCTCTCTCTCTCTCTCTCTCTTTCTCTCTTTCTCTTCCTCTCGCTCTCTCTCGCTGATTGTTGAGCACGCTTACTCTGCTAGTGCAAAGACCAGCGACGAAGATAAATTTTACTATTGCTGCAATTGTTTTGTAGTGTGCTTCAAGATGCTTCG